CACCGAAGTGAATATAATGGACATTACGAGTGTCGCCAGGTGATATTTCCGACAGAAGTGTGTATAGTACTCTTTTTGTTAATAAACAAATGGTTATTTTCTTTGTCTTAATCATTGTTAATGTCTCTTTCCTACTTGTTTCTTAATGACTAATACACACCCGCACGTCCTTGTCGTAGGTATATAAACACCAACCCCACTTCATTCTGTCTTGATCTCTTTGAGGAATTTTACCAGTTACAGTTCCTCTTAAGTTCCAAGGACCCCGGACAAAATGAGGGTAGAAATCTTGGTTTTGTTGGTCTGTGTAACCGTCACCGCGGCCCAGTGGTGGGACGATTGGGGGGACAGGTTCGGGGACTTCGGAGACAATCTGTGGGACCGTTATGACGATATTTACGACGACTGGGGGCGATATTCCCCCTTCATGTGGAACAACTACCGCCGACCCTGGGGAGGATGGAATTCCTGGGGGCGTCATCACTATAGACCCCATTACCATCACAGACCACGCCGTCACCATGGATACAATCATGGATATAACCTTGGATACAATAACTATGGACAGCTTATGGGTAATCTTTACATGTATAACAAACTTTTCGACTGAGATATTGGTGTTCGATTGTACTGGTGATTGAAATCTGCTACGACAAGAATATTTGTGTTCGATGCCCGAGGAGATTTCTCGTGACTGACCCACGTGACTATAGCCGTGATGACAATCACATGTCTCCTGGTGTGTAAACTTTTCTCTTGGGATTCTATCATGACGATCATGTGACTCAAAATCATCCACTGACTAACAAAATGGCGTTGTCTGCAAATTCAAGTAATCACTTATACTTTGTTACAATTTTTATATACTGTTGTTTTATTGTATAGAAAATAAAGATCCCTTTGCTTTTTGTCTTCTCTGCACTACATGTAGCTATATGATGAAATATGCCAAAGAATTATTGATCCACTGGTGAAAGTAAATTGAACCTGCTGAAAAAATGAATTTAATTTGACCGTTGCTTTTATTTTACATCTTAAAAAATAACATAAAATTTATTCAAATTATACAACGAACCCCACGAATTCTTGATAATGTCTACATTAAAATAAAAATAATGCAACCAAAGATAACCCTCACCCATTCTAAGTGGACGCGCACAAATGCAAAGAGACAAGGATTTTGTCCACTAAAATCTTACATTAACGACTTTCCTTCAGTTTTATTACATTTTAAGGACATACGCAACGTACCTTACCTACTGACAATTTTTCAAGATATTTTTAATTTAAGATTTTAGTGCCATCAGAAAAAATACTTTACATATTTTCTATAGATTGTTTTTTTTCCCCAAAATTGTTTTAAAGGAAGTGTACAACACAATGTATAGACATTAAAATAGTAGTACGCAGTTCCTTGAAGAACTGGAACTCATCAACTTCATGGAAAAAGACAAAAAAGTTCAAACTACGTTGCGTATGTCCTTAAGATGGAATATCTGTTAAGACACGATGACTGACATGCAGAATTTTTTCTAAAGCCCCGTAATTTTGTAATTCTCTAGTAAATATCATACGGATTTCTAAAAGTATGTATACATTTTAGCGACATGCGCAGATAAACTTGTGTATTTGTTAGAGAAAACCATAAATATTATTACATATCTTAAGATTTCATAAAGCATTTAGATTGATATAATGGTCGGTATTTCAAGTGGAAGAATTTATCCCCAATAAAGCAATGTAAACACAGAGAAAACCTAATCAAACACGTGCAAAACTAATAGTTACATGTGATTATATCTGTATTACGAGCCAGACTGATTTACTAATTAGATTATAAAAACCAAACTGTATGTCGACATGCATATATTACATCTATATAAGGATGTCTTCGGCCGCTAACATATAGATGTACTTTTTTATATACATCAAATGCCATGCTTAGTTGACCACAACATTATTGCGACAACAGCAAAAAGATTCCACCACATGAAAGACACGCATGTTGTGTATAAAGGTATTTGTAGTGTGAAATTAAATGTGTTGATTCAAACTTTTGGTAGAATTATCGTATTCAAAGGTTTAAAAACATCAAGAACATCGTAAGTTGAAAAAGGGACAGGAAAAGTATAATATCCCCTCGCAAATGAATCTATTCAAAGGACAGTTTCTCTCAAAATATATTTAATATATCAGTTATTTTCCCAGACAACTGACCTTTGAATATTATAAGTAGTTTTCCTCAGCTGTGCATCATTATTTTGTTATAGTAAGTTAGTACAACTCTGAAAAGTAAGGTCGTCTATACTGCATGTTTTAAACATGAACGTTTGATCATGAAATTTATGCTTGGCGTTTAATTCTTTTTCTGGCCATCAAGCTGTAAGTGATTTGACAGTAGAGTCAGCCTTTGTCAGCCCCCTGTAACTAAGTATGTAACTGGATGATAGATACATAACAGTTTCAATGTCAATTGCAAAAATTCAAGTATTTCAATCACACAGACAGAATTCTTGATCTAAAATAAATAGGTTCCAAAAGATTTGGTTTCTATAAAGACACCTATATTTTGACCTGTTGTCAACCAAATGAACAATCTGGTACTCCTAGTCATGTGCCACATACTGTGATACATATGTACATCTTGAAGAGTAAAGAGCCAAATATACTCCGTGACCACAACATGCACGCACGAATGCGCGAGTTGTAACGTTTTAAGGCATAAAACTACATATATTCGCATTTTCCTTTGTTTTAATCTGGTAAAAAGCAGACAGTTTCATTCACATACTAGAAACACAAAAGACTTGATCGAAACACCATTGAAGTCTGTTGCGCATGGATACAACTACTCAGTACTCAATAAAAAAAAACGAATGATTTACAGTATAAATCATATATACAGATCAGATTTCAAAGCAATAAACATTTAACAATCAAAACCTTTTAGCATAGTGCATTGTTTCCGCTGCCCTTTATATTTAACTTATATGAAGAATGACAAGAAATGAAAAATAAGTGTAAATCAAAATGGTGGTAATGACGGGGTTAAAAAATCTAACATGATCGCAATTTTCTAAATTTTTGAAATTGTAATTGATCCGAAATAAAAAAAATCAAGAGCTGTGATCAGGTAGACAGAATATTTCGTATACATAATAAGAATAAAACAAATTAATATGAAAACACAATCGGTATGAACTATATGAATGTCAGTAAAAAATACGATCACATGAAAGGTTTAATTTGCTGACGAGGTCGTTATAACGACCACAGAATTTAAAATACTGCCTGTAAACGTCACGCGGATGTTGAATCACTGTTACATCGACGTATCTGTCTGTAGCCTTTCTTGGTTTAAAACTTTTTTGCACTCAGGGGAATTTCAACTTATGTGTACTTTGTGTATGTGTATATATTTAATCGATCAGGTGATGTTTAAGAAAGTTATTTTGTTGATGGCCGATCACAAATAAGAATTTTTTTTAATCCGTTCAACTTTAATGAAGGCGAATCCCTATTTATAAACATCAACAGCTATACGGAAGGATTGTCATTTCAAATGTTCAGAATTGTAGATGGTGAAATCCTTTGCGCATGCTTAAAGCTAAATATGATCAATCACCCCATGTCTTGAATGAAGAGTAATAATGGTCACGAATTGATGGAAACCTTGATCTGTCGGCACTCCAAGGCAGTAGGTCAAATTTCTAATTAATTACTAATTAAAAGGAACTTAATCAGCCATGCACTATGATCTCTTTTATATTTAATGTCTAACAAAACGGCTGTCGTAAGCAATGCTTCGAAACGTACGTGGTAAAAATTATTTATTTTACAAATATCAATTCAAACAGTTAAAAAAATAATAATACTTTGAATAATTTTTGTTTTTGCATATTGATTTTTCTAAAGAAATATTTACAGAATAAAAACAAATAAATTGTATATACATTAAAATTCTTCTTTCAGTTTATATCAAACCATTTCCTGAAAGTCAATTGTCATCGGGAAAAAAGTCATTGCTGACAAATGAGTCAGTTATGAATCATCTGCCATCTCAATATGAAATATGTCAGATAATGACTTTTTTGTTTTGTTAATATTTTTTTTTCATACTAGCATGCATAATTTTTAAATTTTGTCTTGACCTAAAAAAGAAAAAAAAGTGTCATATGCTTCAAAAAATATTAAACTTTTTTTTTGGTTTGGATTTCGCAAGTCACCCTCGTTTAGTTCAAGATATTAAACACTTTTTTTGGTTTGGATTTCGCAATCACCCTCTTTTAGTTCAAGAAAAAGTACCCAATATTCTTCAGGAGCGAAATAATTATAAAGTGTAGATAACGCAGTACATAACATAAAACAAAATTAGTCTTTTAAAAGTGTGGCACAATCTATATAGCGCCTGATAATTTGAAATACACAAAAAGAAGAAATGTATAAGAACCAAAACACGTGCACCAATCCGATAAATCAACCGCATGAAAAATTGCATTTAAAAGTGTGACGTAACTTAGCGCCTTAATTTGAAATATACACAAAAAAAGATGAAATATATAAGAACCAAAGTACGTGCACCAATACGATAAATCAACCACATGAAAAAATTACATTTAAAAGTGTGACGCAATCTAGCGCCATATTTTGAAATACACAAAAAGAAGAAGTGTATAAGAACCAAAGTATGTGAACCAATCCGATAAATCAACCACATTTCTTCTAGATCCAATTCCGTCGTGACAGATGATCCAAGAGTTTGACCTAGATAAGATCAGGAACCCCATATACCTTACAGAGGGACGTTTATGACACTAAAAAGTGAGGCATTTTATGACAGTCTTCGGCTTTACTGCTGAGAGTGATATCTTTTCGCTGGTTTTTCTTACGACAAAAGCTGTCCCAACATACATCAATTGTCAATATTTGCATATTTATTTTTTCTATGTATAAAATGATGACAGTCCGTATTTTGCCCTGCATTTGCCACGGGATTCTCTAGCTGTTAGGTCGGTCCGGAATATCGCTCTCTGTTTTAATTGGATTAATTAAACTGGTGGATTAATTCTGGACCACAATTTTATCCATTGGTATGAACTGTGCTAGAAGTATATCTGATTTTCTTTATAAGCCGTGATTATCCAATTAATATAATTTTTTCTTGGATTGGACGATAGCAAGTATTTCAACTTGTTTCAATTCGAAGTAATGAAGTAACTCTTAATTTTGCTGGAAATTATCTGATTTTCATTAAGTATCACTTATTTCTCTACATCATAAAAAAGTTTTACATTTTCAATAATTTCAATGTGTTCATTTTTTTTGATAAGTAATAAGAATGTATTTTTCATTTTTATCTACATGTACCAATGTTAAATCACCATTTAATTCATATAATGTTGTTTGTTTTAATATTTGTCTTGTGCTGTTGTTTCTTGCCTAACTCTCTGTTGTCATCTGTGTGTTTTCCTTGTCACCCTAAGCCCCTTACCCCAATCAAATAATGACGTCAGCACATCCATCCACATCAAATAATGACGTTAACGGATTCTGTGTCATTTAATCTTTATGTTCTAACTCTGAACGTGTTTATAAAATATTACCCACACTCATCCATGTTAACGACAATGTATATCAATAATTCTTGCAAAAAATCGCTAAAATTAATAAGTTTTGTTAAAATTGTATTACGGTGGCTGACGCGGTGTTTCGTTGTTTCTGTTGTGTCGATATGAACGTACGCTAACATGTGACGTCATCATCATCATTCTCATCACTGTATTTGACAATGATTCGTTTAGGGTCGAAAAATGCCCTTAGACTGATTTTGCATTTTTACAGAAAATGAGACGAGAACTATGTTTATTACTCGTTTTGTCCCTCCTTGGACAATCGTATTCACAGACCACAACAACCGGGTTTGGAATAGCTGATACGCTTAGGACTTTTATAACTGGTTATCCTTTGCTAGCACTCTCAGCCGCTGTTCCTTTTTTCGCTGCTAGTAACCTAGGACCGAATCCGTCAGGGTTAGGATTAAGCAGACCTCCATTCCCACCACCGCCGCCATTTTTGAGAAGACCATTTTTCCCCATGATGCCCTTCATGAGACCTCCTCCACCACCAATTTTCATCATTAGGCAAGGTAAGGGACGGCATCGTAAATTACAACGTGCTTATTTTGATACATCAATTTGCATATCGGTTCATATTTTGTCACATGCACTCTTGGTATACCCCTTTCCCACCTGCCCCCTCTTCCATGCACACACAAAGGCAAGCAAATAGATGATAACTATAGATGATAACTGTAGAGCTAAAAGGATGTTAAACAACAGCATTCGACAAGGCCTTTTATTTCAGTGACAAGATGAAGATTTGCATCATAGCGTTTCTTATTTTGGGATTGGCCGTTCCAATCTTCTCCCAAAGCACCAATTTTTTTGGTCAGATTGGGAGCTTCATTAGTGGTAATCCTCTGTTGGCCTTGTCTTTTGCTGGTCCATTTCTTGCCTCTAGCAGTTTGGGGCGGAATCCCTCGGGAGTTTTAGTACCTCCACCGCCGGCCTTTATCGGCGGGGGTCGCCGTTTTATCATGCGTGGACTACCTCGCCCCTTTATCGGACCCTTCCCACCCCACCCTGGCATGCTTTATGGTAAGTTAGTAAAGGAGAGAGATTTGTGTTTTGATACTTACCCTGGCTTTAATTTTCAGGACCCTTTGGACATAGAAGAATGTTTTGAGATTATAATTATTTATTTGGTAAGTTTGGTGAGAGACCGGAATACTCCGAAATCGGAATATACTTGAGTCTCCGGAGAGTAGATTTTCTTAACAGATGAATTCCATATTACGCACCTTACTATCCCATTTACTGAAATTTCCTTTCTATCATCACCTAACAACTCTGTCTATACAACTCATGTATGTTTTCTATACAGTTATATATAACCAGTGTTTTAATATCACAGAATGTAATACAGTAAAACTCGTTTAGTACGAACACGGATATTGCGAATTCACGGGATATAGCAAAGTTTTCTTTGACCCCTAACTGAAATAAATTACGAATTCCTTATACGGATATAAAGAATTACGGACATATCAAAGTAATTTCACAGGTCCAATGGCTTTATAATAACCGAGTTTTACTGTAATAATTTAACATTCCTTCTTTTACGTCTTTCTTGGGTGAAATAATGCATTAACTCTAATTTTGATCATTTACAAAAACAGGTGTAACCTGATTCAATTCATGTATACACTTGAAATATTTATATTCTCCCTTACTACCTCTAGCGGAGATTTTTTATGAACCTTCCATTTGAGGAAAAAAAACAAACAAAATTTAATAACATAATAGAAAAGATTTGTAAATTGTTGAGTATATGATGTGTGTATATATACTTGTACGTTAGCATTTACTAATAGAAATAACGATCCTTTTTTTTATTTCAAAGCGAAAGTTTTTTTAAAATCTTAATTATATACTCAGTATATATGACATTGATAAAATTTAGGACCGAAGAGAAAGGTTTTAACACGAATCTAACTTTTGTAGGTTAACAACGTGCGCCTGATTTGAATCATTCGACCGAGTTAAGGTATTACAATATTTATTGCAAACACTACTCTATGAGATTTTTGGAATTGCAAAAATGTTTATTTCAATTTACATCATATACCTTGATTTATTTTTAAAAATCTGCTGTCATTTACAGGAATTGGTTCATTTTCTGACGTACTTCCGGTGTATATTTCATCAGACTTGCGTCCTGTGTCGACCGTTTTGATTGGTGGAGATCTATTTATGTTAGGAATATTTTGAATTTTTCGTTCTGTTTGAAAGAAGGCTAAGTTTACACTTTACATGTAGCCCAGTTATTTTGGGCTTTCTTGTGTATAAACTCAAAATCATATGTACATTCATAATTACTATTCACTCACTAATTATTTCTCCAACTCTGTGTAACCATAACTATTTTTGCCTTTATACATTGAATATTGTTGTAAAATAAATATTTGTTGAAATAATTGTATTTATGATTTGATCTGAGAAAGGATTATCTTGGAAGAGAGTCAATACAAGCCACAAGATAAATCAAATCCATTGAACACTCCTAGATATGTCATACAATTATAATTTATGAAATATTCTAATATCAAATTCAAAATTCGATGAGAATGTATTGTGCACTCATCATGTAATTTGTTTGGCTTTAATAACTAATTCAAAATCGATTTAAACACAGCACAAGTGAATATGACCTACACCCTGTGTCACATTAATAGCACACTCATTGTTCTCGAAGTTGAGTGCTGAGTACTAGCATATTTCTAAATTTGTAGCACTCTGCACGGATTTTGATTTAGATATAAATTCTAGCAAGGAACGCAATGGATCGATCAATCCAATCATTCACTCTCATACTGAAAGTGCATTATCAAAACAAGGTTCTCATTGAAGTTTTGGTATCGGTCTCTTAAATTACTAGTTTCAATGACAGCTTCTCAGGCATAGCAATATCAATGCCTAATTCAAAAAATCCAAATAATTACGTGAAATATGAGTCCGAAATAAAAGGAAAAAAATCAAAAACTTTATGACAGAAATAAAAACCAAATTATGCACACAGTCCAAATTATAACATATTTTTTACTCTGTAGTAGATGTATGTAGGTTCAAATATAATTTGCCTTCAAATTTGTTTAAATATTGTTACTTGCAATTATTGGATTTATGAGTTTAATTTGAACCTTAAATACATTTTTTTTTTTCAAAATCGAATCGCAAAAACGAAAAATCCTTCTATTACTTAAAAAGCAATGCATAACCACAAAAATAAGTAAAAAGATATGTAAAGCATGTAAGACACACATCTTTTTTTTAATATAACGAAATCAACATCGCATCACTTTAAAAAAAATATCTCTGTATGGTTTGTACCAAAAAAGCGATACCAAAAAAAAAAAAATGAAACTAAAAAGATAGAATGGTGAACCACCTAAAAGCTATACATGTATGTGTATATGTACATGTCACACGAGTAAAGATTTCTTCGAAAGAGTGTAATACTATTTAGGCAAAATTACTCTCATCAAAGAGTGTACACCTGCTGAGGAAATCTCACTTAATATTTGGGAGTATAATTTTTTTCCAACATCATTTTCTTATTTTAAAATACATGTAAAAGAGAATAAATGAAATGCAAAAAAAAAAATCTTGGCGTATTTCAGCATATGGCCCAACTTGAATATCAAAATGCGAATTTCTTAAAGACTAAATTCAAAGGCCACATAGGGCTCTTTTTCACTGTTTTAAAGTAAATTAATCAGCAAATTAATAAGTACACTGTTTGTAATAATCAAATAAAGCCTTAGATACGTTAATTTTTTCCAAGTCCTTTTCATTTTCAAGAGTAGATTCTTTGCGGAGTAATATAACCGTTCTTGTGGCTTTTTCTTTTTGCTGAAAGAAGATAAGAAGTGAAAATATACGTTTATTACAAAATGATCCTCATTCTCTCTAAATGGCCCTCTTTATAGGTATGAAACCAATACAGTGTAGCCAGTTTCCTCTTGATGATGAAAACACACACACACACCCTCTCCCAAACAACTTTCACAAACGCACAATACACGCACATGCAAATAAGATTACACTGTAATATAATTCTTTAAACTAATATAATATAATATATGTATTTTCACCCATCGAGTTATATACATGTACATATACGTGTCGTATATCTATTTTTAAATCTAATTTTTTAATTTTTGTTTCTAATTTTTTATATGACAAAAAATATACCTAGTAGAGGATACAATATACATTTAAAAAATGAATATGATTTACTAGTACATTCTCTGATAGGACCGTTATATTCAAATTCATTAAAAAGAAACGAATTTTGAAAAAAAAAAAGAGAAAAATTCACATTCTAAACGTATTTAGTTTTCTCTTTCTTTGGTTTTATTATTAAAACATTAAAACATTAAAAAAAAAACATTAAAAAGATAAAAATTAACATTTTTACTTAATCATAAACAATTTTCTAAATAAATATGATTATAAACGTACTGTACATGTAAAGCTACAAATCCCTTCCTCGGTTCATTTTGAAATTGAATTCAGGAAGCAGTTAGCTAGACGCATGTGCGGTAACATTTGTAACATGTCGACATTACGCAGGCGCGTGTTACGAGGTGACCCGTAAGCCATGCACCCTGTTCTGTGTAGGTTACGAGAAGCGCTCTATAAAAACACCCCTACATCTGAGTCTCGGTACCAGTGTCCTGCTGATCATATCCAGGTAAGCTTCCTCTAAAGAAGACTGAAATCTACTCACTAAATACCTTTTCTAATTCTTACTCTGACTGAAGAGTGAAAATAAAAAAAAGATTTTGCCAAGTTTTCAGCTCTTTAATTGAAATTTCATTGATATTCAAATCACTATATTCATCTTTTGACATAAATCACCGATCGATTTCCGAAAATAGGTAATCAATCTTTTCGTTTAAAAATATTTATTTTCAAATTCATTCTTTTTTCGATTAATAGAAACCATGAACTCCCTATTGACCGTTACTGTTGCCGCCCTGCTTGTGGCTTGTTGTTCCGCCCAATTCTTTGGGGGATCCTTCGGAAGACCCTTCGGAATCTTCGGTGGCGATGACGGATTCTTCGATGACGGAATCTTCGATGATGGATTCTTCGATGATGATTTCTACGATGATGATTTCTTTGATGATGATGGAATCATTATCATTGGAGGTCCATCTTTCGGAGGTATGGGAGGCGGTTTCGGAGGTATCGGTGGCGGATTCGGAGGTATCGCTGGTGGAATCGGATCTATTGGTGGCGGAATCGGAGCCATCAGTGGCGGATTTGGCGGTATCGGATCCGGAATCGGAGGAATGATCGGAGGTAAAGGATACGGCAAGAAATACCGCGGATACGGAAAGAAGAACGTCTGGCCAAAGAAACACTACTCCGGATACGGAAAATCCCACGCCGTTCCATACGTGTCTGGTACGTTTATTTAGAAAAACAAATCGTTAATTTTGAAAACAAAAAATTTTTATTTCATCGCAATCATTTTGCTACAATGAATCTCAAAACTAACGAATCTTTCTCTCTGTTTTTAGGATACCAGACTGTTGGATACCAACCAACACAGGCTTACTACGCCGGTGCCTCAAGCTTTCCCCAGGGAGGATATTCCGCCGCTTCTTCCTACTACCCCTCATCATCCGGCTACTACGGTACCAGCGGCGCCATGTACTAAAACATCCTAGGTAAGATTTAAAATATTCCACCGTAGACATTTTTTTCCCGAATTAACCAAAAACTTGAAGTACAATGTCGAACACTTTCTGATATATTAATGTTGATTATTTATTCTTTTTTCTCTCTTTTCAGGTTGTTGTTCTTCCCACTGTTTTGTTGTTGTATGATTTAGGAAAAATTGAATAAAAACGTAAACAAATAAAAAAAAATGTTGATTGTTTTCCCCTACTTTAAAAACCCAGAATAGCATATTTTAAAGAGCAAGAAAGAGTCAAAAGTCAGATTTATTGATGGTTGAAGAATTACTCAAGGTATACCCCATTTCAAATAATGTCAAAATGTATCAAGATTTCAATATTTAAATGAATGTACCAATTTTTTTTCCTGCAATGCGAAGAATGCTTGCAAGTGCTTTTTAAAGACATTTCTTGAAAACGTACATCACAATGGAAGTACGAAAAATAAATGAAAGAAAGAATAGGTCAGATAGCGAGGTCATTACACTTCCAGTAAATAATTAAAGAATTCATTTTCTCTTTACATGTATATCAGACTCTAAATAAATATTTATATCCATGTTTATAGCTAAGGAGAATAATTTTTCAAAATTTTAATGAATTCATTAAAGTAACCCTATCTTATAATGAGTACAAAAATCAGATATATAATTGTTTAATACATTTTATTTAAGGCACTGGTTCATGAATCAAGAGACATTAACAGTGATTTAGTACGTACATAAACATAATTTCTTCTGAAAATCCCGTCATGGTTTCAAAAATGGCTGACTTCTTCATGTTGCCTAGTTGCTTGGGCAGGACTACAGTATTCTATTCAAAGGTTCCGCGCAAAGTACCTTTTGACAGTCAAGTTGAAAAACAAAACAATTTAAAGAAAAAACCTTGCAGATCTTTCAATTCACTCTCAGTGAACACACAGTCTTATTAACCAACAGCAAGAAGTCCGAGGTTAAAGGGCACGTTTCCTCCACTAAGAAGCCCAAAAGTACCCAAGGCAGTTGGGAATCCTCCACCCAAGGGGCCGTTAATTACCCTGGGGAGCAGACCAGGTCCTCCCGAGACGCGGTCCAAAAATCCGACGGTGGCAAAGGGGCCAAAAGTAGGTCCAAATCCTGGGAAGAGGTTAGGGAAGGCCGGTATCTGGCAAAAAGCAGACGACACCAGTCCGAGCAGAAGGCAAGAGTGAAGGAGTTTCCCCATGTTGTACTGAAAAAAAAAACCAATTGGTTCACGTAAATATTTAATTTACTGGGTGCATGTCAACAAATTTCACAATACGTATATTTGATACGTGTACTTTGTACATTTTTACTACCACCCACTGGATCCAAAATTATTATTTGATATATCCATTGACAGACAAATATTCTCGACCTTTTTTAATAGGTACATTTTTGTATATTCTGAATATTCAAGCTTAGAATGATATGTTGAGGTAAAGAAAATTCCATTATCTACACCAATCAAATATAGCGTTAAAGTATTTATTAAGTTAGACAAGATTTTCGATTTAGAACTCGTAAATGATCAATATTTTGGCATCGTTAGCTCGAAATCAGGTGCTAAAATTCACATCACTAAAACTGGTAAAAAGTAAGCGTTGTCGCGCATAGATATATTGTGCATTATATATACGAGGGTTGTCCCGTAAAATCGTGGACAAAGCGCTTTTCTAGAAAAGCAATTGGCGCACTAAGCTGAAAATTTCAGTATATGTTTACGGTATTTATCATATTTAAGTGCATGAAATTTTTTTTGACAAAATATAGGCAAACACAAAGATTTTATTATGCTTGAATGTGCACGAGGTATTGTCCTACGGCGCACGGTCAAAAAACCAAGGTTTTATTAAAGAATACACACGTTTGAATTCAAAATAAAAGTTTTAAGTACATAAGATTTGGATCAAAATTATCCTAATTCAATTCCACAATCTTTGTAAACATTTTAAGGCATTTGGTCAATTTTTGGCAGTTTCTCGAGCATTCGAAATAGGAAAGTGGTAAACACAACACACGAAAAATGGCGACGTTTTATGACATTACAGCGCACCGGAGAGCAGTTCCGTTTTAATTCGATGTTGTAATGACACCTTTAGAGACCTAAGATGACCATAGAAAAAAATAGATTATAAAAATATCACCATAGTTTAAGTATACAAATGAAATAGGAGTTTTCTTAGCGAATTCATTTTTGATCGAGTCCCTGGGGAGTACAAAACATACGGACAAACTTCTCATGTCATAGCAAAAGACGCTGTCACAGTAGACCGCCGATATGAGATTTTCTATTAGTTGAATGATGGTGAGAATATTGTCCGAAACTGACTGATAAATCTTCAGAAGATCGCATGAGGATGCCAATTGGTTCTTCGGCTGTTTATGGAGACTAAAGAATGTGCATCAATAAAATTCCTAAATTTAAGTCGGACTCATCCAACTTCATTTTCAGCAAAGATAAAACGTGACGCTGTTTTAGACACTTTGACGTTATAATCCATGCGCCGTAAGGTGATACAATACATGGCATAAAATCACATAATTTGTTTATGTATGCATATATTTATCTGACATTTGCTGTGTATATTACTAAAATATATACAAAATAATAGTGAAAATTTCAGAACGCAGTGATTTTTATTTTTTACACTAGACAACTTGTCCACGATTTTACAGGACAACCCTCGTAGTATGAAAATTCCGACAGTTTATCGATGTTTTAGCCTTAATTTCTTTTGATCAAAAACGTCAGAAAAAGCGTAATGTTAAACATACGATGTCTTACTTTTCACAGTATGGAGAAAGCAGACAAAACTGCCGTAACATGCAAAAAATAATGTAGAAAATCTAAAAGTATAATAATCAGAATTGTTATAGCTTGTTTAATTCTTAAAATAATTTAAAAATTAGAGACAAAAAAAATTTTTATCTGCAATTTCAAAAGTTAGTTTATATTTTATGTATCTTTATATACAAGTCTAATTCTCAAAACAAATTAAAAAGATTAGAGAAAAATCTAATTTTTTTTGTATTTTTACATCTGGATTTTCCGATATCAGATATATACAAATTTACAGTTTAAAAAAATATGATTGATAAAAATCAAGATGTTCAGAATCTTAATTTTGATATAAACTTCATTGAAGCTAGAACTGTTATAATCATAAAGCAAATTTCACTCACCAATATAATGAAGTGCAAACTAAAAACTTCTTTATCACGTTCTTGTTACCCTTATATATTGGTGATGTTTGACAATTAGCGATAAAAACAGTGTTTTTTATGTAATTATGTAATAAATAAGTCCATGGTGATATAAAACATGTCTGTTAGGTCATTCTGACACATCAGGCATTGTCTATTGAGTGATCAGCCACCTTAAGTTGAGGACGCTATCTTTAAACATTTGTTTGGTTCGATCCCAAGAACGGCATGACACAAAACTTTTATCAACCACCAAGAAACAATATATATTTTTTATGCATTGCAGAAAATTTATTTTGAAAATTCAGCATTGAATTGAAGCAGTGAACTACATAATGTTCATTGATTTAACTATTATGTATGTCTCTGATTTATTTTATTGATTCTTCATTCATAAAATAAAATCCCTTTGGTTACTAGTAAACTGATTAAAAAAAAAAGAAGAAAAAATACGCAGGTTTGCGTTCTAAATGACGTTTTCATAAGTGAGATTTGCTCCAAAAACTTAAAAGATTTATGTACCAGTATATATATTTTATTACTGTGAGATATAAACTTATTATGAAAGGTATGACGAATAATGTTATTACGCCATTGTCGTGTTATGACGTGTTTGTGCTGTCCAGCAGTCAATGGAATTATATCTGCGGGCTAGAAAACATGCATCAATATTATACCTTACTTACTTATGTAATGATGGGGCTTACAAATCTAGGTGTGTTTTGGTCTTTTGGAATACACAACTTAACCTTAGGACCTCAATTTAGAGATAGGTGGGCCGCCAATCAACAACTGCAATTAACCAATCGCAATGCAGTACACGGTTTCTCTTCAGTTGACAAAGTCTCCCCAAAATACAGCTATATTACTTGAAATGTGAGGATAACGGACAGCGATCATGCTTAAAAAATCAAAGTAAAACGGGGTCGGGATCAGGTGTTATGGAGGAGTAAGCATCCCCGATAGGTCCAATATTTATTCCTGGAATGTTTGTTCTTAATATTCAATTTTATTAGTTTCTTTAGTGATCATTATGTTTTCTATCAGGGTTTTTGAAGAAAAAATATATTTATATTTTAACTTGTAATGTTAAAACATGGTGTACAAACGAAATTTTCTTATCTAAATTCATTCCAGTACTTGGAAAAAGTTTTAATTTAATAATTTTTTTTTCATCATTTAATTGCGTATTAATGTAACATGATCCTATGTTTGATTTCTCATCCTATTTTTAAAATCTTAAATTGACCTTTGTTTGATATCATGACCTACATTTGATATCTTGACCCCTCTATTTTAGGTAATGCCTATGCCTATGATGACACCAGCTCTTCCAGTGACAGTGATGATGAAGTTCTGAAGCGTTACCAGGAAACTCTGAAGCATAGACACAGCATATCATTTGGTCATAATATTACAAATGTTTAAGGGATTTTCTGTACAAATAGAGATGACAAGGAGAGTAATAACTTCGGTTTTCCAGAAATTCTTATCATTTTCTTTTATATATATTTTAAAAACATTATTTAACTATGAATTGACTCAAAACCCTAGAACTTTCTTTCACGTGAAAAGAATAAAAAGGGGATTTTATTTTTCAATTGTGATTACAAAACGGTTACTGAGTATTTTTCAAAGCAGTATTTTTTATCATTTATTCATTTCAAGCAATATGAGCTGCATGTTTGACATCGGAAATTTTTATTGCAAATTTGTGATTAACTAATTAAATGACAGAAAAATAAATCATTTATAAACTTCTGTTGTTCATATTC